TTTTTTGTTATTTTTTACTTTGGTCGCAAGCCTTAGTTCATTTTAAGCCTTAGCTTTTCTCACTTCATCTTTGCAGGCTCGGGCTATTTGCTGATATTCTGATTTAGTTATGTGCCCCTCTTTCCACTTTCTATACTTGTCCTTTTTATCTTTCAATTTGCCAGCCATGCTGGTTTCTTTTGAGAGTTGTTATTTTTCCTCTTTGTTGGTATTGTGCTAGACTGGGCTTTTATTATCTCACTTTTCAAAATTTCCCAAGCTTCTTGAGTAGTTTTCCCCTGGAGGATTCTCATCCATGGAATCCTTCCCAAGCCCTCTCTAAGTTTATTGAAATTAGCTCTCTTGAAGTCCAAGACTCTAGTTTGACTATGTTCTATTTCTTGTGCTTCCATAATGTTGAATTCCAATATTGCATGATCACTTCCCCCCAAGGTTCCTGTGGCTTCAACACCTTCTATCATTTCATCTCTGTTAGTGAGGATTAGATCCAATATGGCCAATCCCCTAGTTCCCTTCTCTACTTTTTGGGAGACAAAGTTGTCTGCTAGGTTTGTCAGGAATCTGTTTGGTCTTCCACTTGGTGCAGAGTTTGTCCCCCAGTTGATATCAGGGTAGTTAAATTCCCCCATTACTATTGTGATGTGCTTTCTACATACCTTAGTTAACTGACTAGCAAAAAGTTCATCTATTTCCTCTGTTTGGTTGGATGGCCTGTATATACACCTATGGCAATGTCATTTTCCCTCTTTTATATTGACCTATATAAATAAATATAAATATTGAGCCATATAAATAAAAGCAATCGGGGGACAGATCAGCGTAAATCCTGTCTGGGATTGGGCTTTGAACCCCTCGGATGGGACTAGAGGTGCAAAAGTCCTTCAAATTAAATGAAAATTGTTGCTTTAAAAGCCTATGGGAAATTGCATCGCAATTATAGCATGCCACCTCCTGGCCTTTTTGAATACGGCAGGTGGTGTAAAGAAATCTCCAGATATAATTTTTAAAATAACTCTACGTATAGTATGGCTATTTAGGAGAGATGCCGCATCATATTCTTTCCTGAGGATCTGTCAAGCCCTTGTGTATGTTTAGACCTTATAAACCTAAGAGATGTAGGTAGATATAAACCTAAGAGGTAATCAAGGAGAGAAGCAACCTGGAATTAAGAAGAAATTTCCTAACAGTAATAGTAATAGTAATAGTAGTAAAGTTGGAAGGGACCTTGGAGGTCATCTAGTCCAACTCCCTGCTCGGGCAGGAAACCCTACACCATTTCGGACAAATGGCTGTCCAGTCTCTTCTTAAAAACTTCCAGTGTTGGAGCATTTACTGCTTCTGGAGGCAAGCTGTTCCACTGATTAATTGTTCTCACTGTCAGGAAGTTTCTCCTTAGTTCTAGGTTGCTTCTCTCCTTGATTAGTTTCCACCCGTTGCTTCTTGTCCTGCCTTCAGGTGCTTTGGAAAATAGCTTAATTCCCTCTTCTTTATGGCAGCCCCTGAGATATTGGAATACTGCTATCATGTCCCCCCTTGTCCTTCTCTTCGTTAAACTAGACATACCCAATTCCAGCAACCGTTCCTTATATGTTTTAGCCTCCAGTCCCCTAATCATCTTTGTTGCTCTTCTCTGTACTCTTTCTAGAGTCTCAACATCTTTTTTACATCGTGGTGACCAAAACTGGATGCAGTATTCCAAGTGTGGCCTTACCAAGGCATTGAAGAGTGGTATTAATACTTCACGTGATCTTGATTCTATCCCTCTGTTAATGCAGCCTAGCACTGTGTTGGCCTTTTTGGCAGCTGCAGCACACTGCTGGCTCATATTTAGGTGATTGTCTACTAGGACTCCGAGGTCCCTCTCACAGTTACTACTATTGAGCATGGTGCCACCTATGCTGTACTTGTGCATTTGGTTTTTCTTGCCTAAATGTAGAACCTTGCTTTTTTCACCATTGAATTTCATTTTGTTAGTTAGTGCCCAGTGTTCAAGTCTGTCCAGATCCTTCTGTATCTGAAGCCTGTCTTCTGGAGTGTTGGCTATTCCTGCCAGCTTGGTGTCATCTGCAAATTTGATGAGTTCCCCATCTATCCCTTCATCCAAATCGTTGATGAAGATGTTGAAGAGTACTGGGCCCAGAACAGAGCCCTGGGGCACCCCACTACACACTTCCCTCCATATAGATGCAGTTCCATTGAGGACCACTCGCTGAGTACGGCCGGTCAGCCAGCTACGGATCCATCTGGTGGTGGTTCTGTCTACCCCACATTTTTCTATCTTGTCAAGTAGTAGGTTGTGATCTACTTTATCAAATGCCTTACTGAAGTCCAAGTAAATTATGTCCACAGCATTCCTCTGATCCACTAATTTTGTCACTTGGTCAAAGAATGCAATAAGATTTGTCTGGCATGATCTATTTTTGACAAACCCATGTTGGCTTTTAGTAATGACTTTGTTTGCCTCTAGGTGTTCGTTGATTCGTTGTTTGATTATCTTTTCCAGGATCTTCCCAGGTATTGAGGTCAGGCTGATAGGTCTGTAATTTCCTGGATCCATTTTTTTTTCCTTTTTTGAGGATGGGAACTACATCAGCTCTTTTCCAGTCCTCTGGTAGTTCCCCTGTGTTCCAGGATCTTTGAAAAATATAGTTCAGTGGCTCCGATATCACATCTGCCAGTTCCTTGAGAACTCTGGGGTGTAATCCGTCTGGTCCTGGCGATTTGAACTCATCTAGGCTGGACAGGTGCTCACTAACGATTTTCTTGCCTATCTTAACTTGTGTTTCTGTTTTGTTTTTTGTGGCACTATTTTTGATAGGTTGGTCTGTTTTTTCCCTTTGTGTAAAGACAGATGCAAAAAATGAGTTAAATAGTTCTGCTTTCTCCCTGTTGCTTGTCACCTTCTTGCCACTTCCACCCACTAATGGACCAATCATTTCCTTCACTTTTTTCTTGTTTTTTACATGTTGAAAGAAGCTTTTTTTGTTATTTTTGACTTTGGTCGCAAGCCTCAGTTCATTTTGAGCCTTGGCTTTCTTCACTTCATCTTTGCAGGCTCGGGCTATTTGCTGATATTCTGACTTAGTTATGTTCCCCTCTTTCCACTTTCTATACTTGTCCTTTTTATCTTTCAATTTGTCAGAGAGTTCTTTATGCAGCCATGCTGGTTTCTTTTGAGAGCTGTTATTTTTCCTCTTTGTTGGTATTGTGCTAGACTGTGCTTTTATTATCTCATTTTTCAAAATTTCCCAAGCTTCTTGAGTTGTTTTCCCCTTGAGGATTCTCATCCATGGAATCCTTCCCAAGCCCTCTCTAAGTTTATTGAAATTAGCTCTCTTGAAGTCCAAGACTCTAGTTTGACTGTGTTCTATTGGTTGTGCTTCTATAATGTTGAATTCTAATATTGCATGATCACTTCCTCCCAGGGTTCCTATGGCTCCAACACCGTCTATCATTTCATCTCTGTTAGTGAGAATTAGATCCAAAATGGCTAATCCCCTAGTTCCATTCTCTACTTTTTGGGAGACAAAGTTGTCTGCTAGGTTTGCCAGGAACCTGTTTGATCTTCCACTTGGTGCGGAGTTTGTCTCCCAGTTGATGTCAGGGTAGTTAAAGTTAATTGTGAGGACAATTAACCAGTGGAACAGCCTGCCACTAGAAGTGGAGGGTGCTTCATCACTGGAGGTTTCTAAAAGACTGGACAGTCTCTAGTCTGAAATAGTATAGGGCAGTGATGGCGAACCTTTTAGAGACTGAGTGCCCCAAAACTGCCCTGCCCCGCCACCCCCCGCCCACAGGGCCACTCACTACGCCATGGTGGCCACGCCCTCCACACGCCATGCATCATCTGTGTGTGACGGGGCATGAGGGCGGAGTCTTGTCCCCGCTGCCTGGCTGCCATGGGCTTGGCTGTGCCGCTCCATGTGGTCTGCGCCTGGGGGCGACTCTCCTCCAGGGGGGATGCTGGTGAGGAGGGGGAGGTGGGCTGGGGCGATGGCATGTGTGCCCACAAAGAGGGCTCTGAGTGCCACCTCTGGCATGTGTGCCATACGTTCGTCACCACTGGTATAGGGTCTTCTGCTCAAGCAGGGGGCTGGACTAGAAGACCTCCAAGGTCCCTTCCAGCTCTACTGATTGGTTGATTGGTTGATTGATTTTACGGCCGTGTTTACAGCCAGGGCGAATCAGTCCGGCCTTTGACACCATCAGGCGGGCTAAAGACGAGAGGCTGAGCGTTGATTTTTTCGCTCTCCGTCTTGCTTGTGTGGCCAGGTAGACGAAACGTCCTGCTCTTTCCTTGGAAAGAGAAAACCCCAGCCTCTGGAGGAGGCCCCCCAGGGTGCCTTGGCGTGGAGGAGGCGCTAAGCGGTGGGAAATGCAGCATGTCTGAATTTACAGGTAGTTCCTCGGCTTACCACCTCAGGGGAACCCAAAATTTCTGTTGCTTAAGCGAGACAGTTGATAAGCGAGTTTTGCCCCATTTTTAACAACCTTTCTTGACAGCGTTGTTAAGTGAATCACTGCTGTTGCTGACTTAGCAACGCGGTTGTTAAGTGAATCTGTCTTCCCCATTGACTTTGCTGGTCCGAAGGGCGCAAAATGGGATCACGTGACCCCGGGATGCTGCGACCATCATAAATAGGAACCAGCTGCCAAGCATCCGAATTTTGATCACGTGACCATTGGGGATACTGCAGTGTGGGAAATTGCAAAAATCAATGTTTCAGTGCCTTTGTGACTTTGAACGGTCATTAAATGTCGGTTGAGGACTATCTGTATTGTCTAGTTTAGCCGTTGGGGGCGTCTCTCTCTCTCTCTCTCTCTCTCTCTCTCTCCCTCCCTCTCCCACTCTTTCTGTCTCTCCCTCTCTCTCCCTCTCACCCTCTCCCTTTCTCTCTTTCTCTCCCCCTCTCTCCCCCCCCTCTCCCTCTCTTTCCCCTACAACATTTGACCTTTCTCTCAATCACAATCACAGCTGTGACTTTTTTTTTAAACTGAAACTGAATTTATTGATGCATTTGCCAAACGGAGAATGCAGGAACTTTATTCTTCCAACCACTGGAAAAAAAAAGGGGAAGAAGCGCCTCCATCTTGTTCTACTTTTATAAGGTAATCTTTGCCAATTCCAAGGCCTTGTTTTGCAGCCAGAGTTTCCAGGGGGGGCAGGCTGTTCCGTGGGCAAATGAGGGCTAAGGTTCCACCATCACCGTGCTGGATGTCACCCGGGCGCCGTACCAGCCCTTCCAAAACACCGTATCCTGACCGCCGTGTTCAAAATGGACGAATCGCACGCCGGGACCATACTCAGCGAAGGTGTGAGTGATCTTAAGTAAAGGAGAGAAAGATAAAATTCAGATGAAAGAGAATCAAATCAAATCTGTTTACTATTACACCACACTATAAAAAAGATGTTGAGACTCTGGAAAGAGTGCAGAGAAGAGCAGCCAAGATGATCAGGGGACTGGAGGCTAAAGCATACAAGGAACAGTTGCTGGAATTGGGTCTGTCTAGTTTAATGAAGAGAAGGACGGGGGGGGACAGGATAGCGGTCTTCCAATATTTGAGGGGGGTCTCACAGAGAGGAGGGGGTCATCCTATTTTCCACTCGAAGCACCTGAAGGCCAGACAAGGAACAATGGATGGAAACTAAACAAGGAGAGATTCAACCTGGAAATAAGAAGAATTTTTCTGACGGTGGGAACAATCCACTGATGGGACAGAAGTTGCCTTCAGAAGTTGTGGGAGCTTCATCATTGAAGGCTTTCAGGAAGAGACTGGACTGCCATCTCTCAGAAATGGGGTGGGGTCTCCTGCTTGGGTGGGGGGGTTGGACTAGATGACCTACAACAGCGGTTCTCCACCTGTGGGTCGCGATCCCATTTGGGGTCGAACGACCATTTCACGGGGGTCGCCAAACAACGCAGTCCGCCATTTTTTCCTCCTTTTCCTTAGCTGTGCTCCTCCCTTTTATTCTATTGGCTTTTGAAAGCCAATAGAATAGACTCTCTTGAATAGAGTCTAATTCTATTGGCTTTCCAAAGCCAATAGGAATTGTCCAGGCTGTCTCTGCCCTGCTGAGCCCGCCAAAAGTCCCATTCAGCAAATGGGGCTGCAAGTTGTCTGCAGTGAAGGCGAGCTTTCTGGATGTTTCCACCCCTCCCTGCTGAGCAACTACTAAAAATGTAAGTAAAAGAGGGCCAGGGGTGGGAGGTGGGAGGCCGGTGGGCGCAGGGAGGGTTGCTGGCATGCGTGGGGCCCAGCAGGTGTCTTACCTCCCTTGGGCTGGGCCAGCTGGTGGCCCAGCCAGTGGTCGGCCTGCGCCGTCACTGCCCCTTGCCAGCTATGCCTCAGCCGGCGCAGGGGCAGCACCACGCATCATGTGCGGCGCTCCCGGGCAGGAAAAGCCCCCGACTTATAACCGGTTGGGTAGTCCTCGAATTACGATCGGTTGGGTAGTCCTCGAATTACGACTGGTTGGGTAGTCCTCGAATTACGACCGGTTGGGGTCGCGGCATTAAAAAGGTTGAGAACTACTGACCTACAAGGTCCCTTCCAACTCTGTTATTCTGATGCCTATTACAGCCATATGGCCAGAAAATTATCCAGTTGTAGGCTACATATATACAGAGATATACAAAAATGCATGATATAATGATAAGAACACATATAGTAAAATTAATTTTAAAATTTAAAAAAGATGGATGTATCCAAAGAAAAAAGATGGTACAGCATCCTTAATTTATAGACATTTGTTTAGCAACCACTTCATCGATATTATAGTCAAAAGGCCGGCCCTATTAGCTGTTAACCAACAAAATAAAATGCCTCGTCACTAGTTAAGACAGTCCTATTAAAGTTAGGGTATATTCCACTGACATGTAATAATCAATGCCATCTGGAGTTTTTGGAATCTCCCATAAATTAGGCTATACGTTATTAAGCTATTAAACAGATTTTACTACACAGAGGGTACAGAAACCCATTCCTTCTTACTGACTGTGGGAAGTCAGCCACCCAGAGAAGGAAATATTAAAAGGGCAGGAAAATATATTTTCTCAAAGGATCTTGAAGAGGTAGGAAAGCATGTTTTCTTAATAGCCCCAAGTCTGCCTCCCCCAAGCAGAAGCCAGCTCTGTACAAATGCAGATGTAAACCATCAGGAAAGTTGGAGCTAGGAGATTAGGAAGACAAAGACTTAAAATCTGCATACCCCACCTGAGACAGGACATGGTAGGATTAACCCACAAAGGTCAAAGGCACAACCAAACTTGGGTCAGAATACATGACACAGGAAATAGCCTCAGAACAGGAACAGGAAATAACCCCAAACAAAAGGCTTCAGGGGCTATAAAAACCTATTTCCTACATGTGCTCAGCCCTTTTTTCTCTCCTCTTTGCTGCCAGAACCATCTTCCTGTCTGGCTCTCCTCTCCAATAAACTGCAACCTTTTTCCCAAAGCAGTTGCCATGTTTGTTCCCAGCTTGGATGAACCAGAATGAAGACTTTTCTTCCAACATGACAAAAGCAGAGAAGAATCAAATAGGTCCAAATGTAAATTTTGACAGAATTCGAAACAACGTCTTTAGACCCAGCTACCTCTATAAAATCACAATACGCAAAATCTAAAAATAACATTTTCAAATATATTTATCTGATTTATGTTTCCGAGGAATCCCCAGTGCCACTGCGCAGAATGTAGCCACCTGCGCTGTAAGAGCAGAGAATTCAAAAGGCCAGCCCTGTTTTATTTTAATTTTTTTGACCTTTTTTCCCCCTTTGCAAAATGGAGCCCCTTTTTCTCCGCCCAGGGAATGGGGGAGCGGCGTCCCACCCCCTAGTTTGGGAACAGGATGTCAACCTCCTGCTCAAGCATCCAAATAAAGTCTGGATAAATGAAAGAGCCAGAAAGCGAGGCCATTTCTCTCTCTTCCTCCTTCGCTTCTTGGGGGGGGGTCTCCTTCCTGAAACGAACCTCAGTCCACTCGCCCTCGTTGTCCTGGGGGACCGCAATGGTTTCGCTTTCGAATTCGGCCACCACATCTTCGCTCGCGGAGAGCAGCTTCACCTTCAAGTTGTAGAGGCAGCCGGCGTCACAGCGAGAGGCATACCTGGAGGAGGAAGTGGAGCGGAAAGCAAGTGGTGACCCAGGGCAGAACGGGTGGGCGACCCTCGGGGACCCCTGGCCACTCACCAGTCCTTCACTACAATTTTGGGCTGGGTGGTGTCCATCAGCTCCTCCCAGTAGCCTTCAGCTTGCAAGTCAATCACTTGGGATTTGCTGCACCAGCTGAGGAGCAAAAGAATAGATAAGCTTTATTGTCATTTTTTACTGTGGGCATCCTGGCACACGTTAAAAATGAAATTCTGTTGCCTGCTCTCAAAAGTGTACACATACATCACACACATGTAGGCATGCTATATACATACATATATATGTTTTCTGAGGTTTTCGCAGGTGTTTGTATGTAGGTCTTTGGTTATTCGGGTTTGCTTCTAGGAGCACGAAGCCAAAAACACCAGCCTGAAGATGACGACGAATGAGACTTCGTCGAAACGTCGCCAAGACACTTCCAATTTTACACGGGAGAAAACCCAAATAACCAAAGACCTACACACACACACACACACACACACACACACACACACATATGTATATGTATATGTATATATACACACACCTAGACCCTTACATATATAAATACATATAAATATAAATCACTGTCCATCTTGAATAAATAACAAAAAGAGGAAGTTGGAGAGTTCACAAGGTTGATCCTGTATGGAACAAAACTGTGATTGAATCTGGATGTTCTGCTTCAGATACCACAGAGTCCCCCCCCCCCCGAAGGTAACAAGGAAAACAGGTTGTGAAGAGGAGGTGTCATGTCCCAGACAATCTTACACACCCTGCTCAAGCAACACTTCTGTGCTACGTCCTGGATGGAAGGGAGAGAACTGCCAATGATCTTTTCTGCCGTCCTCACCACTCTCTGCACCGCCTTCCTGTCTGAAGCAGGGATGCTTCCAAACCAGACTGTGATGCAATATGACGGGCTGCTCTCGATCGTCCCTCTGTAGAAAGTGGTGAGGACAGGGGAAGGAAGATGTGCTTTCCTGCTGCTTCCAGGTCTGATGTTCTTCTTTTGACCAGAAGGACTAGATACTTGATTTTTTTTTTTTTTTACAAAAAAAATGAAAGCAGACTGCTTTGGCTCCCCTTGGGTCCCTGAGCTCTTGGGACATTGCAGCATGCACCCGCACCCGCCTCCAGAGCTGCCCAGCCGACTGTAAAATGGACTCACTCAAAAGAGGACACAAAATAGGTCTGGACTTCATCCCTGGGGAAATCCTTTCCGAAATCCCCCGGCAGCTCTTCCGTTTTCCAGCCGTCGCCACCATTTTGCACATCCTCCCAATGCTGGAGACCCTCTAGGACCGAGCAGAAAAGCCTCAAATGACACTCACTCTGCCCCAAATATCCCCCCCCAGCAGGGTAGGGGAATGAATTCTCCCGCTTGGAGGGAAAGGACCCTCCTGATGCCCTTTGAGGGCCTCCCCTCTGTAGCCCAGGGACCCCCGAGAGAGCCTGGCTCAGGAAAAGGGGCCAGGGGGGAGGGGGCTGCCCAGATCTGGGCCAGGGGCTGCCCCCTCCCCTCGCAAGGCTGGAGTATCCGTTTACCTTCGCCGTTTGGGTTCTTGATCAAATTCCGCTTCTTCTTATTGAGAAAGTAGACGGTTTGCCAGCTCTCTGTGCCTTCCACGTCGGCGTCGTTGCCCGCAAAGCCCTCCGCCTGGCATTTCAGCAGCCAGAGGGCCCCCCCGTCCACCAGCGCCTTCCACTGGGAGCAAACCAGGCGACACACCAGCACCAGGTCGAGGGCGGGCAGCCCGGCCAGGATCCGCACCAGGAGGGGCTCCGGAAGGGCCTCCTTGAGGGAGGGGCAAAGGGAGGGAGTTGGCCCACAGCTCAGACTGGCTCCTCAGTTTGGCTAAATGAAGGTTGGCCCCTGGCACCCATGCTACAGGCTCATTTCAGACTCTGCTGAGTTGGTTCCCCCCATTGCCACTCGGAAAGCAATAAAGGGAGAGCAGAATCTGCCTTCAGAGGCAACTTTCCGGCCGATCTAGTTGCTGACCAGGGATTTTGTTCGGAGATGGAGCCTAACAGGGCTGCCAAGGGGATGAGTCAGTCTTTCTTGCTGGATCCTCTGCAGCAGGGACTCCGTTGTCTTCCCCCTGGATCAGCCCTCGTCCTCCTTTACTCCTGAGCCTGAAATTTCCTTCCCAAATTCCCTCTTGCAGAGTTCCGGTCCTTGGAAGGGAGGGGGCTGTCCTCATCACGCCCACCACCCCCAGCAAGAAGGCGCAAGGACTTCTGTCCCTTTTTAGCTGCCTTTGGGGCGTCCCCTGCCAGCATTCACCCTTTCAGCACTGGAAGCTTTCAAGAAGGAACTGGACTGTCAGAAACAGCGTCGGGTCTCCTGCTTGGGCAGGGGGTTGGACTAGATGACCTCCAAGGTCCCTTCCAGCTCCATTCTATTCTACTGCAACCAGTTTTGGTCACCACATTATAAAAAAGATGTTGAGACTCTAGAAAAATGGAAAGAGGAGAGCAGCCAAGACGATCAGGGGACTGGAGGCTGAAACATAGGAAGGACCTGGGCATGGCTATAGTGAAGAGAAGGACCAGGGCAGACATGACAGCAGCCTTCCAATATTTGAGGGGGGTCTCACAGAGAGGAGGGGGTCAACCTACTTTCCAAAGCACCCAAAGGCCAGACAAGGAACAACGGATGGAAACGGATCAAGGAGAGGTTCAGCCTAGAAATACGGAGAAATTTCCTGACGGTGGGAACAATCAACCAATGGGACAGAAGTTCCTTCAGAAGTTGTGGGAGCTTCAGCACTGGAAGCTTGCAAGAAAGACTGGACTACCCTCTGTCAGAAATAGAGTAGGGTCTCCTGCTTCGGCAGGGGGTTGGACTAGATGACCTCCAAGGTCCCTTCCAACTCTCTAATTCTAATTCATTATTCTCTGACCCAATCCCTGCACCCCCGGGGGGGGAAGGAATTAAGGGCTTTTAGAGTTTGGGGGAGCTCAAAAAGAGGAGGGGGTAGGGGATCCCCAGCACTTACCATTGAGGGGGTGGCCCTGCGGGCGATGCCAGGCGGTGCAAACGGGCAGGCGGGCAAGGGTGGCGAGTGAGACAGCAGCCTGGCAGCATCTGGGGGAGCCGGCCGAGAGACTCCGCCTCCCTCCGGGGCTGGGCTGGGCCGGGCTGTTTGTCGCAGGCAAGTAACTCCAACGGGACGCCGGCCAGGAAGGGCTGGGAGGGGTCACTCCACCCCCACCCCCCCCAATCTATGCCAGTGCAACCCCCATGGCGGGAGGGGGGGCTAACTTGGCAAGGATTGAACAGGAGGGGGGAGAATACAGGGGGATTCCCTCTACTCTTCATTGGGGAGGGGGCTGAGGACGGCCCCATCACTTGGCAGGATGAACATCCCCGATCCGTCACAGTCCTGAGATTTCCTCGTGGTGTCCCATCCATGCCACGTAGCTTTCCAGATCATTCAGCGCGAGCAGGGGCTGATCAGGACGCGACGGGAGCCCCCCTCCCCAACCATTTGCGCTGTGGACGCCAAAGCAAAGGAAGGGGCGCTTTGCACACGCTCAGAAGCGCTCTTTCAGCGGCGCCCTTGGTTTAGCCGGCCGGATTCCCGGATGCCGCGGCTCTTCCCGGGGATCTGAAAGAGAAGTGCGGCGGAGACCCCCGGCTCCCAAGCACGGGGCGGGGGGGGGAGAAGGGAATCCCGCTCATTTGCATGCGATGACGCATACCCCGCCAGGCCACGCCCTCCACGCAGCAGGGAGATCTTCTTCAGACGCCCCCCCCCCCGGTCCTCTCCCCTCTTCTTCCCACCTGGAGACCCCGCAGAAGGTGAGCAGCCTCCCCGGACTCCACCTGCCGCCCCTGCCGGCCACTTGCGGGCTCCGAAGGGCGGAGAGAAGCGATGCAAGGGAAAAACCTGGGCAGCGAACTCGGAAGTCTGGGAAGCGGCGCGCTCCTCTTCCCTTTCGTAGCTCTGCCAGCCCTCCGGCCACGTTTCACTTTCGGTTTCGCCTGGGCGCTGTCCGCGGAGCATCAGCTGCGCTTCTGGCAAGTGCGGAGCCGGCGGCGGGTGGGGCGGGCGCTCCTCCCGGGGTGGGGGGCGGCCTGGAGGGAGGGGGAGGCTTCCGGGCGTGGGGGCGAGGAAGGCGGCCCGAGCGGGTGCCGGGGGGGGGGGGTCCACGGCCCCGGCTATACGGCTCCGGCTCTTCCAGATGTCGCTGCCTTCAGAAGAGACTAGAGCCAGTCACTTGTCTGAAATGGCGTAGGCTCTCCTGCTTGAGCAGGGGGCTGGACTAGAAGACCTCCCGGCTCCCTCCCAGTTCTGTTCTGTTCCTTGACTTGTTCCTGCCTGGAGCTGGAGACTCCATCGAGGACTGTTGGAGCCCGTGCAGGGCTGCCCCGTTTCCCCCCCCCCCTTTGATTAATCGTCAGCTCAGGTAGACTACCCCCTGCCAGGGAGGTTCTACCTCTGCGGCCCAGCTCCAAGACCTAGCCTTCCTCTCCCCTCTCTCTCTTCTTTCTTCTCTCTCTCTTTTTTTTTTCCTCTCTTTTTTTTTTCCTCTCTTCACAGGCGGCGAGCATGGAGACCCTGCCCGAGGACGCCCTGCTTGCGGTGCTGGTTCTCGTGCCCGCCCGGGACCTGGTGCTTTGCTGCCGGCTGGTCTGCTCCCTCTGGCGTGGGCTGGTAGACTTGCCTTCGCTCTGGAGGCTCAAGTGCCAACGGGAGGGCTACCGGCCAGAGCCACTGGACAGCCACGTCCCGGACTGGCGGGATTTCTACTTCCTGTGCAGCCTGAAGAAGAACCTGATCAAGAACCCCTGGGCTGAAGGTGAGGGGGGGGAGTCAAAGGGGCTGGGCTGCCTCTCTTTTGAGGGGGTGGGGTGTGTCAGGTTTCAGATCACTCAAAGTTTGTTTTCCCTGCCTCTCCTGACCAGCCTGCTCTGATCCTGGATAAAGCGAATCAGGGCGGGGATGGAAGACCACCAGGCGATCCAAACAGAGTTGCCAACATGGCTGAGCAATTTTTTTAAAAAAAAAAATCCTGAAATAACACAATGCCACCAGTTCCATAATTCTGCCTCCAAAAATTAGCCTGTTTTAAGGCAGGGGTCTTCAAACTTGACCCTTTTATGACTCGTGGACTTCAACTCCCAGAATTCCTCAGCCAGCCTCCATTTTGTTTGTTAGATTTAAGACCGGGGTCTTCAAACTTGGCCCTTTTATGACTCGTGGACTTCAATTCCCAGAATTCCTCAGCCAGCCTCCATTTTGCTTGTTAGATTTAAGACAGGGGTCTTCAAACTTGGCCCTTTTATGACTCGTGGACTTCAACTCCCAGAATTCCTCAGCCAGCCTCCATTTTGTTTGTTAGATTTAAGACGGGTCTTCAAACTTGGCCGTTTTAGGACTTGTGGACTTCAACTCCCAGAATTCCTCAGCCAGCCTCCATTTGTTTGTTAGATTTAAGACAGGGATCTTCAAACTTGGCCCTTTTAGGACTTGTGGACTTCAACTCCATGCGTGCCTGGCTGAGGAATTCTGGGAGTTGAAGTCCACAAGTCATAACAGGGCCAAGTTTGAAGACCCCTGTCTTAAATCTAACAAACAAAATGGAGGCGTGCTGAGGAATTCTGGGAGTTGAAGTCCACAAGTCATGACAGGGCCAAGTTTGAAGACCCCCTGTTTTAAGGCATATCCTCCTGGTTGTCTCTTATTCCTTACCTTGAAATGTTTCCAAAGCACTGAAACACACAACTTCTTTGTGTGTGTTTGTCTCTCTCCTCCACAGAAGGCTTTGAACACTGGCAAAAAGAGTTGAACGGAGGCAGTGGCTGGAAAATCGAGCAGCTTCCGGGAGATCACGGGAGAAATTTCCCTCTTCCCCATGTTCAGAAGTACTTCGTGACGTCTTACGGGTCAGCAGCGTGACAACGGCCAGCTGCGGGATTCCTTGGGGTTTTCTCACATCTGGATCTGACTGTCAAAGGACGGGCTCCTTCCAGGATGGGAATTTCCAGCCGAGTTTGTCCCACAGGCCGCTTGGAAGCTTCAAATCCCCCAGGATATAAAGTTTTATTTTTATTTAGTTTATGTACGGGCTGCCCATCTTAGCACAAGGCAGCTTCTACTATTAACAAAATAGAATTATATAGATGAATATCTATATGTTAGATTAATATATTATGTAGATTAATATCTTTCCCCCCCCCCCCGGCTCATCTTACTCACTCCCTCGCCATCTTTTAGCTACTGTATTTCGCATTTTTATACAGCGAGTCCTCCTCTTACAACAGTTCGCTTAGTGACTGTTGGAAATTGCAACAGCACTGAAAAATGTGACTTGTGACCGGTTTTCACACTTACGACCGTTGCAGCATCCCCAGGGTCATGTGATCCAAGTTGGTACGCTTGGCCACGGATTCACAATTACAACGGTCACAGCGTCCCGGGGATCATGACCTTCCGACAAGCAAAGTCAGTGGGGGAGGCCGGTTTCGCTTAACTGAACGACTGCGGCGATTCGCTTAACGACTGTGGCAAGAACAGTTGTGAAACGGGGCAAAACTCACTGAACAGCCATCTCGCTTAGCGACATAAATTCTGGGCTCAGTCGTACTTTTGTACAGGTAGTCCTCGACTTAATGACCACCAGTGAGCCCAGAATTTATGTCGCCCCATTTTACCACTATTCTTGCCACAGTCGTTAAATGAATCACTGCGGTCGTTCAGTTAGTAACACGGTTGTTAAGCGAATCTGGCTTTCCCCAGTGACTTTGCTTGTCGGAAGGTCGCAAAAGGGGATCGTGTGATCCCCGGGACGCTGCGACCGTCGTAATTGTGAACCCTTTGCCAAGAATCTGAACTTGGATCACGTGATCATGGGGATGCTGCAACGGTTGTAAGTTCAGTGTTGTAACTTCAAACAGTCACTAAATGAACTGTTGTAAATTGAGGACTAGCTACATAAAAATACAAAATACAATAGTTAAAAGATGGGGAGGGAGGGAGGAGGAGGAGCAGGGGTGGAGGTGGGATCCGATATTAATCTATCAAGCACCACCCTTATTTCAGCCATCGCTGTTCAAAACAGTGCAGACTTTCCCAGGAGGGGCTATACCAGTGCTTTTGAGGAGGGGTCCCTACCCTGCTCAAAAGCACTTGAAAAGTCCCAAAGATGCTTTTTTTCATGAGCCCAATGGACTTCCTTGTTTTTTTCTTTGAAGATGTTTCGCTTCTCATCCAGGAAGCTTCTTCAGCTCTGACTGGATGGTGAGGAATGGAAAGATTTATACTCCTTGCAAACAGCTGGTCATTTGCCTTCTTTTAGACGGTCGTTGAGGCCACCTGGAGGTTTACCTGTGTCCTCAGGGACACCTAAATAGTGCAAATAGGTGTGGAACTTCTTTGGACCTCTGAAAAGAAGAAGGCTCCACACCCATTTGCACCATACAGGTGACCTTAAGGACACAGATAAACCTCCAGGTGGCCTCAACGACTCTCCAAAAGAAGGCAAATGACCAGCTCTCTGCAAGGAGTAAATCCTTCCATTCCCCACCAATCCAGTCAGAGCTGAAGAAGCTTCTTGGAGGAGAAGGGAAATGTCTTCAAAGAAAAACAGGAAAGTCCAGTTGCCTTTTGAAAAAAGCACCTTTGGGACAACCAGGACCTGGATGACCGAGAATCTCCATAGACATTTACTTGAAAAACCATTTAACAATGATTCGTGGTTTGCGTTCCGCATGGAGGCCCGGAACAACCTGTGGTTTTCTCTTCCCGGCCAGATCATGCATGAAGAGGCAGCTGATCACCTTACGGGATGAAGGCTACTGGGACCAGTTGATGGATGACGCCCGGCCTGATATTGTGGTGAGCGACTGGTGAGTGGCAGGCAGGCGAGGCGGACGGACGCACGAGCACAAAATCGAGTTCGGCAGCGCTAAGAACGGCTCCCTCAGAGCAGGAGGCAGAATACGGCAACCGTTCCGCTCTCCTTGCTTTCGCACAAAAGGAATATAGCTACTCCTAACGGTTCATTTAGTGACCGTTCAAACTTACAACGGCACTGAAATCAGTGACCATTTTTCACACGTCCATTGCAGCATCCCCAACGGTCACATGATCAAAATTTGCCCGCTTGACAACTGGCTCATATTTATGACAGTCGCAGCGTCCCCAGTTCATGGGATCCCCTTTTGCTGCCTTCTGACCAGGCAAAATCAAGGGGGCAGCTGGATCCATTTAACAACCGGGTTACTAACAACTGCGGGGATTTGCTTAACGACGGTGGCAAGAGGGGTCATAAAATGGGGCAAAGCTCACATATTTATTTATTTATAAAATATTCCATCTTGCCATGGGTAACTCTGGATGGCTTGTGGTTATATCTAAGCTGAAACATAAAAAATTAAAATTAGACCTTAAAACCGAGGATACGTGGGGGGAGGTGGGAACTTTATTATTATTATTATTGATTATGGCACAGTCAGCCAGATGTTCAGACTGGATTTGACATTTTTGTCTATCTGTCAAGTCCTTACCAAGGACCTGGGATAGGCAGATAGGGATGTATGATGGTATTACAGATATCGTTGCTGAATGGACGATGTTTATTGTTGTTGTTATTATTTTATTCATTAAACATGAACCTCAGTCAACTGAACATTCACATTGGCTGGCGCTGATGGTTGACACAAGTTGCTGTCAGCATCCTAGGTGTCAACCAGGTATCTCCTTAAAATGTAAGATGTTCCGAGTAGCGCAGTTTTTTGTAACATTGCTGGAGTTATTGCAGGAAGCTGCAGTTTCTTGATGTATTTTGCAAAGTTTTTGGACATCGTTCCCAGTGCCCCGATGACAGTGGGTATCACTGTTACACGTTTCATCCACAATCGCTCAGCTTCGATGGCCAGGTTGTGATATTTTGTCATTTTTTTTCCCCAATTCTTTTTCTTTGACTCTGGCATCTCCTGGTACAATGGTATCAATCAGCTGTACGCTTTGGTTCTCTACAACTAGAATATCTGGCGTGTTGTGTTCCAAATGACGATCTGTCTGTATTCGAAAGTCCCACAAGATCTTCACCCTCTCATTCTCAACAACTTTTTCCACCCTATGTTCCCACGACTTTTCGGATACAGGGAAGTCGTACTTTTTACACAATGCCCAGTGGATTAATTTTTTATTATTATTATTATTGATCATCGTACAGTCAGCCAGATGTTCAGACTGGATTTGGCATTTTGTCTACCTATCGAGTCCTTACCCAGGACCTGGGATAGGCAGATGTGGATGTTTGATGGTATTACAGATATCGTCGCAGGATGGAAGCAGTTCCTAGTAAGGCCGCCTTTTGCAATTGACTAATAGCGAATTTGTCAATGCCAATGGTGTTCAAGTGGTGCTCCAGTTGTTTTGGGATTGCACTCAAGGCGCCTATGACTATTGGTACTACCCTTGCTTGCTTTTGCCACAGTCTTTCTATTTCTATTTGTAGGTCTTTGTATTTTGTTATCTTCTTCAGTTCTTTGTTTATTCTGCTGCCACGTCCACTATCCGGACTTTTTTGTCTTTCTTATCATCATCATCATCATTATTATTTATTTATTTATTTACCACCTCCATTGCGCTGATCCCCCATTGGGGCCCTTACGAAGAGATAGGGCCACAATACAGGACCACCTGTGTCCTTAACTGATCTCTTTTAAGAGCTGACATTCTCTCCTTTGGCCCCATCTGTCCCCAGGTACGCTGCGCGTTTCGACTGCGGCTGTCAGTACCAAATCTGCGTGAGACTCCTGTCCAAAGACTATATTGTTCTCCAGGAGTTTCTGCCGGAAAAGGTGGAGATCGAACAGTGGAGTGATGCAGAATGGCGCAAGGTGGGTTCCCACCCCCAAGATTCAGCTGGTGGCTTCAGTTGAGGGGCCAAAGGGTTCTTTATTTGCCAATAAAGGAGAATATTTGTAGCTCAGGGTTGAAATGAGGGGTCCTTGGTGCTCTCTGAGTTGGGCTGTTTTCTTGCAGACGTTTCATGACCCAACTAGATGACATCATCAGTACTAAAAGGAAGAGGAATATACAGAGAGGAGATGGGGGGTGGAGGAGAAAGATGGGAAGAAAAGGACTGTGGGGTCCTTGGTGCTCTCTGAGCTGGGTTGTTTTCTTGCAGACGTTTCTTGACCCAACCAGGTAACATCATCAGGGCTAGAAGGAGTAGCGTTTGTGGAGAGGAGGAGGAGGACTGTGGGGTCCTTGGTGCTCTCTGAGCTTGAGGGGGTTTTTTTGTGCAAACATTTCATTACCCAACTAAGCAACACCATTAGTGCTAGGAGGAGGGAGGTTTGCTGTCTGTTTATTATCCCTTCTAGCTCTGATGATGATATCCCCTTGTGGGGTCATGAAACGTCTGCGAGAAAAAAACCCAGCTCAGAGAGCACCAAGGACCCCCCCCGTTTTTTATTTTATTTATTGTTAAACTTACACGCGGCCCATCTCACAAACATAATGATTTTACTTAGCAAGTATTAGTGTCTTGCGGATAAGGCTGCTTGCCGTGTGTAACACGCACAATGTGGTGCTTTTAGAACCCACCACCAGGGTTAGAGCTGGCAGTTTGTAAAAATCCTCTCTGTAATTCTAGAATCGAATCTGGTGAGGAAATTGGACAAAATGCCACTTTTCACCTGCTCTTCGCCTCTTTCTCCTGCTCAGGTGTCGTACACGTTTCACAACTATCCTCCTGGGGTCCGTCACGTCTTATTTAGTCACGGAGGCCAAGACACGCAATTCTGGGATGGCTGGTACGGTGTGCGAGTGACCAACAGCAGCCTCACTCTGGGTCCCCAAGTGGCAGGTTGATGGACAAGGGCTGCGACGGTTTGAATGGACTACAACTCCCATTGTGCCCAGTAAGTGGCTCTGAGGGAAGGTCAGTCTAACCCAGGGGTGGGGAATCTGGGCTCTTTTATGACTGGTGGACTTCAACTCCCAGAATTCCTGAGCCAGCATGGGGGAACTATGGCCCCCTCATGACTCGTGGACTTCAACTCCCAGAATTCCTGAGCCAGCCATGCTGAGGGGAAGGGAGAGGTTTCCAAGCTGAGCCATGTTGGCTCAGGAATTCTGGGAGTTGAAGTCCACGAGTCATCAAAGGGCCAAGTTTGAAGATCCCTGCTTGTGGACTTCAACTCCCAGAATTCCTGAGGCACGCTGAGGGAAAAGGGAGAGGTTTCCAAGCAGAGCCAGGCTGGCTCAGGAATTCTGGGAGTTGAAGTCCACAAGTCATAAAAGGGCCAAGGTTGCCTACCCCTGGTCTAACCCTTGACATGGAAGGGAAGGACTTGAATTCCAGTTCACCCCAAAATCCACCTGGGTATTTTTCTCCGGTTGAAAAAAATAAATCTGTAGGTATTTATGGATTAACAGATATTTCTCCTTGCTTCTCCTGCAACACTGCAACGTCTGGAAAATTGTACAATTGTGGTATTTAATAAAAAATGGTTTAAGTCGAATCTGTGTCCCTTTTCTGGGTTTAACACTGAGGGCTGAAGTAAGGTGGCGGACGCAGCTGGTGCTCCCAGATACAACTCTTTTAAGTTTATTTACAGTGAATTTAGTCATCGTATTGTTCTACATTAGCACCTTGGAACACAGTAATAAACATTCACATAAATAAGACAGATGAGTGTAGTTGTACAAGTGTTTTCACAGCAAACAGACAGGACCACTTTCTAGGCACAGTTTTTGCAATGCCCCGTCCTCCCTCAGGTCTAGCAACTTGAAAAGGACCCGACTCTGAAGCGGCTGAAGAAGGGAGACTAGCCTGGTGGGATTTAAGAGCACTTTTAAGAGCAGCCAGGAAGGGACTTGGACACGTGGGCTGACAGTCCGAGCATCGAGCGAGCGGTCGCAGGAGACGGGTGCAGTCCGGGAATGTGTCACCTGGGTTGCAGCTTCCAAAATGGTTGAGGGGGGCTGGGTTCAAGTGCTTTTCTGGGCTCGCTCCTCTACGTACAGCTGCATCTGAAAGAGGGTTCAAACCAGAAATCTTGCATTTATTAGGAGCCCAAAAATAAAGAGAAGAGAAATAAAAATAATAGAAATAGGAATAAACAGAATAGAACAGAACTTAGAATAGAAAATAGAATAGAATAGAATAGAATAGAATAGAATAGAATAGAATAGAATAGAATAGAATAGAATAGAACCCCCTGCTCAAACAGGTAAACCTATACCATTTCAGACATGTCCAGTCTCCTCTTAAAAATCTCCAGTGATGCCCACAATTTCTGGAGGCAAGCTGTTCCACTGATTAATTGTCCTCACTGTCAGGAAGTTTCTCCTTAGTTCCAGGTTGCTTCTCTCCTTGATTATTTTCCATCCATTGTTTCTTGTCTTGCCCTCTGGTGCTTTGGAAAATAAATTGACCCCCTCCTCTTTGTGGTAACCTCTCAAATACTGGAATACTGTTATCATGTCACCCCTATTTCTTCTTTTCTTTAAACTAGCCAAACGCAAGTCCTGCACAAAGGTGCCTTTGCCGAGAGGCAGGATTTGGGCCACCGAGGACACACTGAACGGTGCTCTTCCTTTGCAGCTGTGCAAACCACACCAAGCACTAAGGAGGGGATAGAAGGTCAGTGCGCAGAGGAGCTGCCACTTCCTGGTCTGGGATCAAATGGGTTGTGTGAATCCCAAAAATGTGGGAAGAGCCAGCAATTTGATTTATTAAACACTGCTCTGTTGTGCAAATGCAACAAAGTAGGGCTGTTGGGGGGACTTAATTTTGCAGGAAGAGGTGGGGCACACTTGTCAAATAACACACACACACACACACACACACACATACACACACACACCTTTCCAACAGCAACAGAGCCGAGGGCCCATAGCTTCCAAGACGGGTAGAATATAAATTAAATAAATAAATGCAGGTAAAATCAATGCACCCTCTGGTGGCCAAAGGAAGGACTGCAGGCCCGTCGATCTGGACTCCGCCCTAGGATCAGGGTCATATGACCTCAGAGAGCCAATCAGGAGCCCCTCTTGGGTATAAAAGGATTTGCTTGGTTGGGGCCAATCTTCAGCTGGTCCTTCTCCAAGCTGGCTGGGCCCAGAAGGTGGATCTGCTCACCTTCAAGAGGTCCGAAGTCATGGTCTTCAGGGGGATCAGCCGTGGGTCGTGCATGTGGACATCCTGCTCATCGGCCAGAATCCAGGGGAAGTCCTGCAGGACAGAAAACCTCTTCATGCAAACTAGAGACAGCTGCCCCTGTGTTCATAATTTGAATTTAGGAGTTGTTTGCGTGCACAGCTCTAGCGCCCTCTGCTGGCACTGCTGACTAAACTTTATAGGACTTGCAGCTCAGCTACATTGGCAGATCTATATGCTTGATAGTAACCCCTGAGTAAGCAGAGCCAAGCTTAGGAAAGCATCTACCTTCCTAACGCTGACTAGCCTTATTTGTGAGTTACTTTCAAAGTATGTCCCAAAGGTGTGGTTTTTTTTTTTTTAGAGACAACTGGACTTTCTTGTTTTTGCTTTGAAGGTGTTTCGCTTCTCATCCCGGAAGCTTCCTCAGCTCTGACCGGATGGTGGGGAACGGAAGGATTGATACTCCTTGCAGGCAGCTGGTCATTTGCATTCTTTTAGAGAGTCGTTGAGGCCACCTAGAGGTTCGTCTGTGTCCTCAGGATCACCTGTGTGGTGCAAATGGATGTGGAGTCTTCTTCCTTTCAGCAGTTCCAAGAAGGCCCCACACCCATTTGCACCACTCAGGTGACCCTGAGGACACAGGTAAACCTCCAGGTGGCCTCAATGACTCGCTAAAAGGATGCAAATGACCAGCTGTCTGCAAGGAGTATAAATCTTTCCATTCCCCACCATCCGGTCAGAGCTGAAGAAGCTTCTGGGATGAGAAGCGAAACGTCTTCAAAGAAAAACAAGGAAGTCCACTTGCCTCGTGAAAAAAAAAACGCCTTTGTCCTGGATGTCTGAGAATCTCCGTAGATACTTCCAACGTGTGCACAGAGTGGTGCCTAAGAATGCATTATGTAAACAATGGGAAGGAAGACCAAATAATGGTCATTTAATTCTTAAACCTGGTTGGTGACCTGTAGTAAACTCGCAAAATCAGACACCAGGGTCAGGACTGGAAGGTCAAACTTTTGATTAACCCAAACACAAAAACAAATGCCGGGACAAGATTTGGGGTGGAATTTAGGTAGATCACCTTTCTTGTCATTTTTTTACTGTGGGCACAACAGCATACATTAAAAATAAAATGTAGTTGCTTTCTCTCAAAGTGTACACATAACACACCTTTAAACATGCTATATACAATATATGTGTAGACCTACACCCTTACATGTCATGCTTCAAAATGGGGCTAGTAGAAACGGAAGCCGGGATAAGATTTGAGATGGAATTTCATGCTTAAAAATGGCGTTGGTTGTTGTTTTTAAAGCCTGTTGGGGTGACCGATGTGGAGACAGTGAAACACAACTGCTCCCTTTGGGTCTTGTGTGATTCCTTACCTTGATCACTTGGATCTTCTCCATGTTGCGTGTGGCAGCTTCACGGGTGTGCACAAGGATGGTGAAAGTACAGCCTGCAACCAACAAGGCAGAGAGAGAGAGAGAGAGAGAGAGAGAGAGAGAGAGAGAGAGAGAGAGAGAGAGACTGTGATTAAATACAAGTAGTCCTCGACTTACACCAATTCGTTTAGAGACCGTTCCAAGTTACGACAAGACTGAAAATTGTGACTTAGGACCGTTTTTTCCCACTTATGACTGTTGCAGCTCTGCCGACTGTCCTACCTGGAGGGTTGTTGTTCAGCACAGCATCGCAGACACTGATCTTCAGAATAAAAGCCCGCAGAAGCTGCTCCACGTGGTTGAGCAGAGAATCGGAGCTGGAGAAGGGAAAAAGTAGATGAAATTATATGTGTGTGTGTGTGTGTGTGTGTGTGTGTGAGTGAGTGAGAGAGAGAGAGAGAGAGAGAGAGAGAGAGAGAGAGAGAGAGAGAGAGAGAGAGAGAGAGAGAGAGAGACTAGCTGATGAGGGCTAATGAGCCTGAAATAGCTATACTAGTCTCCCACTAACTCTTTGCCAGCCACATATTTTGAATATATATACATACATATATACGTGTGTGTGTGTGTGTGTGTGTGTGTGTGTGTGTGTGTGTTCAAAATTTGTGGCTGGCAAAGAGTTAGTGGGAGACTAGTATAACCCAACAGATAAGATATATATGTTTGTATATATATGTGTGTGTTATTAATAACAATATTAAAAACAAAAGAGTGATTCCTGGGTGTATTCATATCAAACAGCTAAAAAGCATGAGCACCAGGAAATTTACAAAACTATAAAAGTTTTAATTCGGTAAAACACCAAGCTTTCGTTGGCGACTGCCAACATCGTCAGGGTACATTCTTCCCCATCAACTAGAATGTACCCTGACAATGTTGGCAGCCACCAACGAAAGCTTGGTGTTTTATCGAATTAAAACTTTTATAGTTTTGTAAATTTCCTGGTGCTCATGCTTTTTAGCTATTTGATATGCGTGTGTGTATATGTATATATGTATATGTATGTATGTATATGTATGTGTATGTGTATATGTATATGGCTGGATTTATAGCTGAGAGAGTCCTCAGTGGTCTGTAAGGATTTATTTGCAAGATTTAAGACAAGGCCCCCAAACTGACTTTGAAAATCCACTTGAGATACTGGTTTACTACCTTCCTCAATATTTAACTCGGATTAAATATTGTTTTATAATTATATTATCCCCTTATCCAGCTCCATATTTCTCAGTTTTAATGCTATGAATGCTAATAATCAGGGGCCATGGAGTGATTAAACCCGTGTTTCTCAACCTTGGCAAGCTTGAAAATGCGTGGAGTTCAACTCCCAGAATTCCCCAGCTGGAACTCTCAGAATTCCCTGAGCGTTGGCTAATGAATTCTGGGAGTTGAAGTCCATGCATCTGATGCAGTACCAGCCTGGTCAATCGGATCCCAAAGCAGCCTCTAATCTGTATGTTAAGGGGATGTTTTTCCATGGGTTTCATTCATTATAGTTGCAAATCAATACTTCTTATTTTGCTCCTACATTCAGCAGTCTTGAATATTTGCTCTCCTCGCATTCTGGAGGATAAGCCAGAAATGGTGGCTGAGTTTCTGTGAAGGAAAGACTGGTAAACCAAGCTCTCCTGCCTTCCAGAATTTGGTGGGTGTGACGAGGTCCAGAAGGCCAGCATTCGGGGTTTAGGAATGAGGACCCTCACCTGATGGCCAGCAATGGTGGCTGCATGATCTCAAAGACGAATCTTTCTACTGGATGGTGTTCCTTATCAAGGATGACCACGACTACTTTCTCCACGTCGTTCTGAAAAAGGTTGCGAAACAAGCAGGATAAGAGAAATATTATCTCTCTGAAGAAGAACTCTGTGAAATCCAGAAGCCTGCACACAGGTAGGCCGTATTGAGCTGGTTCCCTTGGTTTGAGTATTCACACAAGCAGGTTTGCTATGAAATACCAGGAAATTGATACATCAAAAACATTTTGGAAGCAGGAGAACACAGCTTCCGAGACCTGCAAGTGGGCATCGCACACCTCCATACGAGGAAAAATTATGCATCATAAAGATCACTTGGAGGTGAGAGATACTTCCAATATAATCTACTGGATCCCCTCCATGGATTGCCCCTGTGACTATGTAGCACAGACGGGGAGGAAGCCAATCACCAGACTGCAAGAACACAAGGAGGAGACCCGAACTCAGTGGTAGCCTCACGCTACAATGAAAAAGTACATACATTCAATTTCGCAGCTACTAAGATTGTTGGACGGGCAGGTACAAAAACAGCCAGGGAATTTATTGAAGCCTGGGAAACGGGCCCTTTGCCCATCAACGGGAGTGCTGAATTTACCACCAGCCTATCAAATATTTAGGAGGCGATCTGCCAGCCATCAACACCCCAATCAACATCTACAAAACCACATACACAACAGGCACCATATAAATACCACACACACACACACACACACACACACACAGCCCAAAGCATGCACACACACATACACACACACACACACACACATACACACGTGTTCCCTGAGGATGGGCTCCAGCACGAATCCAAAAGCTCGGAAGACTCTGGTACCGGCGGCTGACCCAGATGCAGCCCCAAACATTTAAGACTCACCTTCTCTAACAAAGGTTTGACGCAGTGGAGGGTATCCTGAATATACTGATTGAGTTCGGGATGGCAGGACATCTGTGGAGGCAAGGCATTTAGTTCAGGTACCACTAGAAATCCGTTTGAGTTAACCCTCTGTGTTTCTCTTTCAAACAAACCTAGTTTTAGTTAATAGGGGGGATGCTGGCTGGGCAATTTATCTTGATTTCAGCCCAAGCAGACACTTAAAAGTCCTTAACAGGTTCACTGGAAAGCCCTGAATTTTCAGTTTTAGATCAATTATTTTCCCCCTTCTACTAAACCGCAACTCTAAATAGTTGGATACTCAATTAATTGCACAGTGAGATTTAATCCAACATAAAAGTCTCTGCTAAGTTTTGTGGGGGGAAAATATATCGGGCCTTTAACTGCACTCTATGCCTTTTATTTTCACGTCCTTTTTCAATATTTTTGTTTTAAATATGCATGGTGAGGCTAAGTAATTTTGGCTAGCAGTGGCTATTTTTTTTCAATTTTTAACTGCCTTCTTTTAATATGTACTACACTCTATTTTCACACAATATGAGCCATTTATCTCATCCCAACCCACTTATTTTGATTCCTATTTAAGAAAGCACATTTGGAATATTTTGTTGTTAAATAAGACCCTGGACCGATCTTTTAAGTGACTGAAACTGCAAACATGAATGAAAGATAACTGCAGCTTCTCTGAACGTTTTTAGAGTTGATTGGCAATGCTCCAGTGGAAAATTTTGTAAAGAGGCATAAAAGTTAACAAATAAATGTGGCGTGGAAAGGAGAACTAGGTGTTTAACCACCTCTAAAAGACGTTTTAATTTGCAAATATTCTACATCTTGCATACAAGAGCATTTTTTAAAAAAAATCTTCTAATGTCAGGTCAAAACTAGGATAGACCCCTATTTTTTTTTTATACATCCAGTCTGTACTGTATTACCTCTTACCTGAACAGGTACATTATATTTTTTCCTCTTCTGGAAAATTCCAGTGGGGTAAACTTCTCGGACGTAAAGGATAAGGTGAATGGCTACTTCTAAAAATTCAGAAAGGACATCAGCGACCACTAGAAAAAAGAAGAAAAGAATGAAAATAAAAACGAGTTTTTTTTTAAAGGGGGGAGGAATTGGAAAGATCAGCTTAAACTGTATTTAAATTTGGTACTTGAGCCGCTTCATTTATTATTTGTTATAATTATTATTAATTATAATTATTTAAATTATAATGCCCCCCACTTTATGCAGAAAGGACTCCACAAGGGTTGAACTGATTATAAGCAGAAATCATTGATTAGTTTGGCAGATTGGTCCACTGAATAAATAGGCAGGTGAATTTTAACTGTATTAAAAATCACAACATCCTAGCAATAAAAGCAGCGTTTCTCAAAGCTTGGCCACCGGAAGAGGGGTGGACTGCAACTCCCAGACTTCCCTGGGGCCAGCTGGGGAATTCTGGGAGTTGAAGTCCACACCTCTTCCCGCGGCCAACCTTGAGAAACGTGGAGCCGATGGGACCTTTCAGGGCTTTGAATGCAGCCCGATAGCAATTCCGGGAAGAGCCCGCGATCTCCTCGTGGTACCTTGTCCGAAGTTGAGGTCCTGGCGCGTTAGCGTGGTCATCCTCCCGGAGGGCTTGCCAAGAGAAAGACGAAGCCTGGTCAGCAGGAGCCGCGGGGGCTGCAGCCCCTTCCCCCGGGAGGGACGGGCGGAGGCAAAACCGCGGGGCTCCGGGGGCTGCCCTGGCCCCACCGGGCGCCCTCCGTCCCGCGCCTGCCTCGGAGCCCCGAGCCGGGCTCCGGCCTTACCTTCCCGGCGGCGGAGGCCGCTCCGATCTGATGGCGGCGGAAGGCGGAGCGGCTGTTGGACGCGCCCAGCCCGGCTCGCTCGCCCGCCCGCCCGCCCGCGGTCTTAGCGCCCGGGCTCCGCGGAGACCCCTTCCTTCCCCTGGCTGGGGATGATGGGCGCGGGAATGCAAGCCACAGGGGTCGGGAGGGGGGCTGCCCTTCCTTCCCCTGGCTGGGGCTGATGGGCCCGGAAATGCAAGCCACAGGGGTCGGGAGGGGGGCTGCCCTTCCTTCCCCTGGCTGGGGCTGATGGGCCCGGGAATGCAAGCCACAGGGGTCGGGAGGGGGGCTGCCCTTCCTTCCCCTGGCTGGGGCTGATGGGCGCGGGAATGCAAGTCACGGGTCGGGAAAGGGGGGCTGCCTTTCCTTCCCCTGGCTGGGGCTGATGGGCCCGGGAATGCAAGCCACAGGGGTCGGGAAAGGGGGCTGCCCTTCCTTCCGTGGGCTGGGGATGATGGGCGCGGGAATGCAAGCTACAGGGGTCGGGAGGGGGGCTGCCTTTCCTTCCCCTGGCTGGGGCTGAGGGGCGCGAGAATGCAAGCCACAGGGGTCGGGAGGGGGGCTGCCCTTCCTTCCCCTGGCTGGGGATGATGGGCGCGGGAATGCAAGCCACAGGCGTCGGGAGGGGGGCTGCCTTTCCTTCCCCTGGCTGGGGATGATGGGCCCGGGAATGCAAGTCACAGGGGTCGGGAAAGGGGACTGCCCTTCCTTCCGCGGGCTGGGGATGATGGGCGCGCGAATGCAAGCCACGGGTCGGGAGGGGGGCTGCCCTTCCTTCCCCGGGCTGGGGATGATGGGCGCGGGAATGCAAGCCACAGGGGTCGGGAAAGGGGGGCTGCCTTTCCTTCCCCTGGCTGGGGATGATGGGCCCGGGAATGCAAGCCACAGGGGTCGGGAAAGGGGGGCTTCCTTCCCCGGGCTGGGGCTGATGGGTGCGGTGATGCAAGCCACAGAGGTCGGGAGGGGGGGCTGCCCTTCCTTCCGCGGGCTGGGGATGATGGGCGCGGGAATGCAAGCTACAGGGGTCGGGAGGGGGGCTGCCTTTCCTTCCCCTGGCTGGGGATGATGGGCCCGGGAATGCAAGTCACAGGGGTCGGGAAAGGGGACTGCCCTTCCTTCCGCGGGCTGGGGATGATGGGCGCGCGAATGCAAGCCACGGGTCGGGAGGGGGGCTGCCCTTCCTTCCCCGGGCTGGGGATGATGGGCGCGGGAATGCAAGCCACAGGGGTCGGGAGGGGGGCTGCCTTTCCTTCCCCTGGCTGGGGCTGATGGGCCGGGAATGCAAGTCACAGGGGTCGGGAAAGGGGGCTGCCCTTCCTTCCGCGGACTGGGGATGATGGGCGCGGGAATGCAAGCTACAGGGGTCGGGAGGGGGGCTGCCTTTCCTTCCCCTGGCTGGGACTGATGGGTGCGGGAATGCAAGCTACAGGGGTCGGGAAAGGGGGCTGCCCTTCCTTCCGTGGGCTGGGGATGATGGGCGCGGGAATGCAAGCTACAGGGGTCGGGAGGGGGGCTGCCTTTCCTTCCCCTGGCTGGGGCTGAGGGGCGCGAGAATGCAAGCCACAGGGGTCGGGAGGGGGGCTGCCCTTCCTTCCCCTGGCTGGGGATGATGGGCGCGGGAATGCAAGCCACAGGCGTCGGGAGGGGGGTGCAGGAGGACAAGGACCACCCAGCTGCAGGCGCCGCGCCAACACTTCCCCTGCGAGGCTTTACTCCCGAGTAAGCAAGAAAAGAGGGTCTTCCCCCCCTTTGTGGGGAGCGATCTCAAAGGGGAGCCTAGGAGCGGCACCGGCCCCCCACCCCACGCGGACCCCCCATGGACTGAAACGCCGCGGGCACCTGCTTCCAAATGGCTAGGCTGGAGCTTCAGCTGGAGAGGGGGGCTTTCCCCCTAATCCTAATCCCCTCCCTTCAGGGTCTTGTGGCCAGCCTGTTCCCCCCCCCCCCCCCGTTAAGCACCCTTTCTTAGGGGAGTTTCCCACAATGCACCTGGGAAGGGCTTGAGGATGGAGGCTGGGGAGACCAAGCAGGGCTGCGAGGTAGGCAGAAGCGATGTGGGGGGGTTGGCGTGGCAGGTGGTTAAATGCCCCCAATTCTCCCGTGGGGGGGGGTGGAAGATAGATCCACCCCTCCTCATCTGCATTTCCCCATGGTGCCCTTTTCTTCTCCGGGGCTGAGGTCCACTGGCTCCATCCCAGCTCTTTGTTCCCTTTGTTGAGCTGGGTCCCTATTTGGGGGGGGGGAAGAGAGAAAGTCTCTGGAGAGGCGAGCGCCCCTCCCCTCTTTGCAATGCCCAGCTATCACTTATTCCACCCCCTCCCACTAAAAATAAATAAATAAAGCCTGCCCAAAACACACCCCTTTTCACACCCTCCCCTTCTCCTCCTCCAGCCTCCCCCCCCCCAGGAGAGAGGCAGGGGAGGACCCCAGCCCCAGCTTCCCCCCCTCCCGCCTCTCCGCTTTGCCACTAGCTGGGCCAGTCTGTCAGAGAAGGCAGAGGCAGCCAGTGTGGTGGGTCCATCCTTCTGTCGGTCACTCTGGGTGGTGAGTAGCCCAAAGTGGTTGGGGGGGTCACTGGGTGGGTGGAGGAGAGGCAGGGTGGACCTCCTCACCTGCCTTCAATTCCAGACTTTGGGTTAAAAAACCCCAGAAACTTAAAAATGTTCCATTCCTGCTAAGTGACTTAGAAAAATCTCTGTTTGGCTGAAGAAATTAAAAAGCAGGACGTGTATTTTCCACTAAGTGGGGGGGAAAAAACAACAAATCTCCTACTGTATATGTTTGTGTGTTGGGGGCTGTGTGTGTGTGCATTTGATTAACTGCATTTTCAAAAGAGATTCTGCCTTCCACCTGGTGCCTCAGCAAAGGTGAGCCGGGACAAGGACAGCTGGGGATATAATTCAGGATTGGGCCTATGGAGGTGGGAAAGGCTTTTAGGAAAGACATTAAAAACTTAATTTCTAACAATTGCATTCCCGTGTTTGCATTTGATTTTTGCATGTGACTTATTTCAGTGGCATCCCTCCAGGTTTGGTTTTTAAAAACTGTGCTGTAGTCATCCTAACAAAGGGACTAGAATCATGCTGAGTCCGTTTGGCTCGGCGGGTAAGCCTATTAATCGATAAATCCCCAAATAATGATGAGGATAATATTACAGCTACTACACTCTTGTGTGATACTATCTATCTTCTCCCTGGAGAATGCAAACAAAAGTCCCCATTCTCCCCCCCCCCTCCTTTTGCTTCCAAGGGATACACTCAGAAAACGTTATTTTTTAAACAAAAAGAAATGCATTTATTTATTTTAAAAACTGTCCCAAATGGAGGCTGAGTTGGTGATTGAAATTGCAGATAAAGTCTACATTGTCAAACTTGAGGCTGGAAAAGGGGGGTGATCATTAGGGCAGACAGTTTCTTTATCTCCCCCCTCCCTTTTTGTCAAATTCCTTTTTTTAGAAGGGTTTGTCTTTTCTTTGAACAAGCTTGCACAAGCCAGCTCTTTCACATGCACACAAACACACCCCACTGAGTTGGTGTGATTGCCAATTTTATTCCCTCTGATGGGCTTTCAGAGAGAGAGAAAGGCTTATTTTTACAAATATGAAGAATTTGCCCTTGACTCAAAACTTCAAATGCCCAAAAGAGAGAGAGAGAGAGAGAGAGAGTTTACAATAGCAAGGATTTAACTGCAAAATGTGGCTTCAATTTGCCAAGCAGGAATATCTCGGTTGGCTTTGAGCTTCGCGGTGGACATGCCAATGCGGGGTTTGGCACTTTTTTTTCAGCCCAATTGATGTTTTATTTTCCTGCCAAGCATGGATTCCCAGATTCTACATTTTACAACTGTGATTTTATCTGGGGTTGACCCTGAGCTGGTGGACTTGCTTAGGAAAATAAATCTGCATCTTTGCTGCTCAGTTACCTGGAACATGTAGTTTGGAATGCATGCTAAGTGTTAGGTATGTTTTTTTAAAAACAGCTTGGGTTATCTTATCTTATCCTATCCTATTCTATTCCATTCCATTCCCTTTTTATTCTATTCTGTTCTGTTCCGTTCTGTTCCATTCCATTCCATTCCATTCCTGTTCTATTCTATTTTATTCCATTCCATTCCACTCTATTCTATATTTATTCCATTCCTATTCCATTTCTATTCTATTCCATTCCATTCTATTCTTTTTATTCTATTCCATTCCATTCCACTCCACTCCATTCTATATTTATTCCATTCCTATCCCATTTCTATTCTATTCCTATTCCTATTCTATTCTATTGTATTCTATCCTATCCTATCCTATCCTATTCTATTCTATTCCATTCCACTCCACTCCACTCCATTCTATATTTATTCCATTCCTATTCCATTCCTATCCCATTTCTATTCTATTCCTATTCCTATTCTATTCTATTCTATTCTCTATTCTATTCTATTCTATTCTATTCTATTCTATTCTATTCTATGTTCTGTTATTCTATTTTAGTCTAGCCTAGTCTAGTCTAGTCCATTCCATTCTTTGGTGGTTATTGTGATTTGTCCTGTAAACAATCCACACAATATTCACTCACATCAGGGTTTTTCAACCTTGACAACTTTAAGAGGTGTGGATTTCAACTCCCAGAGAGTTAAAGTCCACACCTCTTAAAGTTGCCAAGGTTGAAAAACCCTGATTTAAGGGGCTGATGGCTTTCTGAAGCATCGTGGATCTTAACAATTTCAATGCAGTTTTTGGCAACTCTCCCTGTCAATTGCTTGACGTATGGTTTTTTTTTTCCCAGCCTCCTTCGGCTTACCGCCTAGAATATTTAAAATATTTTAAACCTGAAATAGAATACTTTTTGGAAAATAAGCCCCACTGATGTCGGAAAGGGAGTTATTCTCTTGTTTTCCCCCAAATGTCGTGCCTTTGGCTGATTTCAGGAAGCTAAGTGGGATCAGGCCTGGTTACGGTGTGGATGGGTGTAGGTAATTTTGGAAGAGGTTTTGATTCTGTAACGCAGAAAACTGGGTTA